ATATTTATCCATGAAACCTGATGAATCCAACCAGTTACTTAAACTACAAGCATGTCTTAACGACATAAAAACTTGGATGACTCTTGGATGACTCAAGCTTGAATTTTGCCTGAAACTCTCAGACTGAAGAAGTCTCTTGGAGGAGAGACGAAACGTTTCATTAAAGAAGAACCCGTCCAGAAGACCTATACAATTTTTTTCTTTTTGATTTTTTTACCTGGATTACTGAGATGCATCAGGACATTGGATGAATCTTAATTTTCTTGTTCTAAACTCAGATAAGACAGAGGTTATGGTTTTTGAACCTGAACATCTTAGGGATCACCTTTACAGCCTTTCACCTTCTCTGGATGGCATTAATCTGGCCTCCAGTTCGAATGTAAAGAACCTTGGTGTTATTTTTGATCAGGATATGTTTTTTAACCCCCACATTAAAAATGTTACCCGGACAACCTTCTTCCACCTGCGTAATATCACTAAAATTAGAAACATCTTGTCCAAAAATGATGCGGAAAAACTGATTCATGCATTTATCTTGTCTAGGCTGGATTATTGTAATTCTTTATTATATGGGCATCCAAAAAATTCAAAAGAGTTTTCAGTTAATCCAAAATGCTGCTGCTAGAGTTTTAATGAGAGTTGGAAGGAGAGATCATATTTCTCCAGTTTTAGATTCTGTTCATTAGCTCCCTGTCAAATTCAGAAGAGAATTTAAAATATTACTCCTAACATACAAAGCTCTCAACAACCAAGCTCCATCTTATATTAAAGATCTTATTGTACCATACTTTCCTAACAGAGCACTTCACTCTCAGACTGCAGGTTTACTTGTGGTTCCTCAAGTTTCTAAATGTAGAATGGGAGGCAGGGCTTTCAGTTATCAAGCTCCTCTCTTGTGGAACCAACTTCCAGTTTCTGTCCGTGAGGCTGACACTCTGTCTACTTTTAAGATTAGACTAAAGGGGACATATCATGCAAAATCCAATTTTTTTTAGCTGCTAATTGCATTTTGTTGTGTACCTGGAGTCTGTAAGTGTGCAAAAAAGTTGAATTTAGGCTTTTCTGGTGCTGCAAAGTTATCMTTATATACTTTTTGGCTCATGTTTTTCAGCCCGTTCAGTTTGATCTATTTTCTATGACATTTTCTGAGCTATTACATCAYATTATCTGCACAGAATTGCCAAATAAGGTCTGGACTTACCAACCAAAGTTTGCTGCTCTAAATTCTGCTTTGGTTCTGGGTCAAACTCTGGCTCCAACATGTAAGACTGGATGGACTGGTATTCTGTTGTTGACATATTTTAATTAAATTGTAAATAAAATGTTTCTACTCTGCTAGAAAATGTTAACCCCCCACCCCTTAAACCAGAGTGGACAGATCTAGAAGCTGAAGGGGGTGGACCTTGAAGCCCCTTAAAGGAACAGGAACAAAACCAGCTGCTTTGAGAKACTGTTCAGAAAAGGGGTGAAAGAGGGGCTGTAAAATTAGAACAAGAAGGAATTCAGACCAAAGCATTGTAATTCTACTTTATATAGACCCCAACTTAATGATTTATATGTGAAAAGGAAGGATTTAAAAGCATGATATCTCTACTTTAAAGGCATAGTAATCTTGGTGTAAGAAAATGTATGACAATATAAAGTTATCTCTTATTATTCAAACATTTAGCAAATAGATAATATTTTGGGATTCTAGTACAGGAAAGGTTTGGTCTGATTTAATGCCAAATGGTGAGAAAATATAGAGGCCTGCATCTTTTTTATGAGGTCTGAGTCAAAAGTCAGAGGACACCCTTTCCTTTCAGAAAGAAAAGGACAAATGAATAGCCATTCGGTGGCTATATTTGGTGGCTTTCAAGATGTCGGCCATGTTCTGAACATTGATAGGCGTCCTCACCCATTGCTTGCTGGGTATTAAGTCATTTTCCTTTTTCGAAAAGCACAGTGTCTCAGTTGGTAGAACTGTTGCCTCCCAGCAAGAAGGTTGCCGTATCAAATCCCGGCCAGGGACCTTTCTGGGAAGTGTTTGCATGTTCTCTCCATGCGTGCATGGATTTTCTGGACACTCCGGTTTCCTGCCATAGAACAAAAACCTGAATTTTTTCTAATTTCTAGTTTTTCTCTGTTTGGTAACTCTAAATTGTTCCTTGGTGTGAGTGAAAGGGTGAATYGTTGTTTGTCTTGTTTGTCTCCATGTAGCCCTGTGATGGACTTGCGACCTGTCCGGGGTYTACCCTGCCCCTMTCACAGTAACATGCACCATATAGGCACCAGTGACCCTGAAAGGAAGAAGAGGTAAAAGATGATGGATGGATGGATTTTAACTTTTCTTTCTGAAATTAAAGGGTGTCCTTCAACTATTAATTGCTTCTGTACTGTGTATGCAAACATCTGGTTTTACCTTTATTTTCATACACAATCATGCGTACACTGTCATTTTTTTGTACTGACACATGATTGTATGTGTTGGAGCATATTCATATACCTGTGTGTGTCTGTGTGTTTACTTGTATTTGTTATCTTTTTAGGACTGTTTCTGGTATAAACACCTGCTTTTCTTTGAGAACCAAAGACCAGTCCTAATATGGTGGAACACCATTGGTGGGGGGGGGTCTTGTTGTCTACTTGACYTAAGCAGTAGACTGTCATTACTAAGGCCTGGTTTGCATGACAAGATTTAAGAATTGTTGGCCGATTTTCAAAGACTGAGAGACCCCACTCCTGAGGATAAAAAAATCATGTACATACCAGGTTTGGTCCTACAGTGTGTGGTGTACAGCCACACGGCAAGAGACAACACACCACACACGGACACATTTCATTCATGAACGTTCAGATGTAAAATCATGCATGACCTCCAGAGATCGGACATAAGTTCTGAGTAAACATTTCAGATGAGAAAGACGCAGTGTTGATCATTTGTGGACAATTTTTAACAGAGAAAAAAAAATTCAAACTAACTTCTACTATGTCCATAGGTCTTTCTGGTGAGTCATGGCAGTTTTTTTCACATTCAACAGGTTGAAAGCTCATTTAGACACCACACGCTGGAATGTCGGGCCAAAAAAATCCAACATGTTGAATATCCCGATTTGAGATTGAAGCGGTCCCGACATCCTTTCGAGCTGATTAGATCACTCTTAACTCACCACACATGTCAGGAAGATCTGCTAAAATTATCTTTAGAGCCATTATGCTATTCTGAGCACCCTTAAAATTATCAGAAGGGCAAAAATCGGCAGGGTTAACCTGCCGTGTGAACCTGCATGCATCACTTGTATCATTCAGCACCGACACACAGCCACAACTGAAGGATGTGTACCCATTTAATTACTATACAGAAATCACAACTTGCCTTTTTCTCTTGTTTGTTTTGCTCACATTTATTCAACCGTCTTTCTACTTTTTAAGCTTCCTCAATAATAGCAGGAAGTTTTTTTTTCATCTTGTCTCTCCAGATCAATCATTCAGTTTTGTTTGTTTTGTTTAACCACAAGTGGAATATGAAATTCACCTTTTTAAGCTCAAACTGAAAAGATATGTTGGCCATGGTGGAGCCAAAGATGCTCTTGCTTGAAAACGTTTTGCAGTAAGACATTAAGAGTGCAGGTGCATGTGTCGCAGTGGTAACACTAATCTACCGTCATGTTATTTYGCATCAACCTGTGAACTGTGGGGAAGGCTTGTGTCAGATTTTACCACATGCTGTGAATGTGAAAGATTCATACTTTATATTTGTTGTTCATCTCTTGCAGAGATTCTGAATGGTCTCATTCGGTGTGTATACGGATTAGGGTGTCCGGTGGGATATTAGCTCACATGGTGATTTAAATAGGTAAATTATCAGTTGGATAGATGCAGGAGCCCTGCYGCGAACAGGCATTGTGGCTGAATGCCGCTCAACCTTTTAAGCTCATAACCAATCCGATATAAAAACAAAAAGCAGCAGTGAGCTCTGACACAAGGCTAAACAGATAGCTATTTTTACCCTAACACAACAACACGGTAATATCATATCAACCGTTTATGTCTGCCCAGCTCAACTCTTGGCTTATCTTTAAAAAACAGTTTGCGAAGAAGTGTTACCATTCCCAAGTGGGTTCCATTTTTCAGACTTCCAGTGAGTTCAATAACTATTGGAATGAAAAGCACCTCAGATATTTTCCAGATATTTGACTTTTGTTAATTTGATTCAGTTTTAATTTGTTAGCAAATCATTGTCTGCAAAACTAGTTTTGTATAATTGTCCAAATGRATGTTTGTACATTTATATGACTTTAAACAAGCCTAGATTTCAATCACACATCATTTGAGCAAAGGAGGCAAACAGATAACTTTGTCTACTGGTTTAATCCAGGATTAACTGTTCTGTTAAATTCTGTCTCTGACCCAGAAAAGGCCAATTATTGCCCCAACACAACACTAATATTTTCTACACCCCTCTGTCACACACACACTTTTCAAACGCATCAGGTGATTCAGAGGTTTGGTGTCAGTTCATCAGTAGAGTGCCAGAGAAACCGTCTCACCCCTGCTCAGTTCCCAGGCCCTTGTCAGATGATTTTTCCCATCAGGGTGTCTTATCTCTCAGCAGAGCAGAGGAACACATGAAGAAACCTTCCTGTCATACACACTCATTCATCTGAGTTCCTTCACGGTTCAGCACACACTCACACAGGTGCTCCTGGCACAGAGTGGTACCACGTTACATTCTCCCATTTATTGTCCCGTCACATGTTTGTTCTTCTGTATTTACAGACCATTCACCGAACAGATCTATCTGCAGAGAAATCAGCACCCAAAGCATGACTGATCGTATCCCTCTGAGGCAGTTCCTGCTCCTGGTTTGTGCTGAGGATTCCCATCCACTCCTGTGGACAGAAGGATAGACTTAATAACATCTTAGTGATTTGCTGATTATCCACATGGAAACAAAAAAGGAAAGAAAAAAAACCATCCATGTTTTTGGTCCAATTTACCTTTTTTAATTAACGAAAAGCTGTATTCAACATGTGACTTGCTGTTCTAAGAATGTTAAGTAAAGGGAAGTGAGTGAAATTTAGCAGGTGAGAATATTAATTTTATATCTGAAAGAATTTTATCTGTTTTACACAGTAAGGTCTGTTGAGAATTACTCACATCATGTGGAAATAGCTGAAACCTTTTATGGGTCTAGACGGGGCTGTTTAAAGTACATATTTGAGCAGCATAAAATGRGGATGAGACCTGATACTCTACATGGATCAGATGAATGAATGTCATCCAATAGAACCATATTAGAACAAAGCAYCCTCCTTTGAAAGATTGGCTGTGTTATGACCTGTTAATATTCCTAACTTTTCAAATGTGTTGTTCCAAATTGATTTAGTTATATTTTTCCCACTTAGTAAGAACTATGATTTTTGTTAGAAKATTTTTTTAATATAACACATCATTTCAAAACTCTCATTAATTCATCCCAGTCCAAAAGTTCTGATTATTTTTGTTCTTTGCGCAAAACTAAGATATCTCTCAAACGTTCAAGTCTTGTCAAAAGACCTATAATGGAAATTGATTTATAAGAAATTAATGCATTTTCTGTCAAACTGAACAGCACACATGGTTTCTTTTTTGTCGATGGATTGTTTTTTATGTAATAAAATAATGAGGCAGAACACAAGGTGCTTCTTTCTTTGTGACTCAACAGATCCTGAGTGTTAATGGAAGCACTTAAGCCAAGAGTTTACATAAGTATTCCTAGAGGCAGGTGTGTGGGAAGAATTTCATGCATGAGTCCCCAAAATTAGTCCTATTAAGGCGATTCTACTTCTCATTCTGGCTGTAGAACTGAAGCGCGAATGTGATGCACTTTTGTAGTCCAGTGATTCAATGAAATGTCAAGTTGTTAAGCTACTACAACATCCAACAACTTGTGAAAATAAATCCCTTTTTTGTATTTGTCTTATTTTTTACCAATAAATATGAATGAATTTAAAAAATGGTAAAATATTCATTTTACTGTACTTGAGAGTAGGGCTGCCATGATTAGTCGACAAGTCAATGACTAATTGACTATTAAAATAGTCGATGACTAATTTAATAGTCGATTAGCCATTTTTTTGTGTTTTTTACTTTGTTTTTATTCTCCAAACTGCTTTGACACCTTCCACTGCTGCATCTGCCTTTCTGTCCTTGACACACATGCACAGTAGTGGTAACTGGGGTAGGCCGTGGACGTCACAAGACATTATACAGACAGGCTCTGGTATCATGGCTACCCGGCAACAGAGCTCAAAAGTGTGGGATCATTTTAAGAAAATGAAAGAGAAACTTGTGCAATGCAATATCTGCAAGGCAATTCAATTCAATTCAGTTTATTTATATAGCGCCAAGTCACAACATACGTTGTCTCAGGGCACTGTACATGAAAAAATAACAATCTAAAYAGGAAGCCAGCAGATTGTGTTGACTCACTTCATCACAGTCTCCCATCTTGAGCAAACAGAGGAGAGGAAAAACTCCCTGCTAATCAGGAAGAAACCTCCAGCAGAACCAGGCTCAGAACAGGCGGCCATCTGCCTCGACCGGCTGGGTTGGGGGACAGGAAAGAGACACAGCCAAACACAGAAGAAGAGGTCCAGGTGCATCTACTTCTGAGAAAAAGACAAAAAGAAAAAACATGTTATTGATAGAAATAATTACAACAATTATGTAGAGAAGAGAGACTAAAGACAACAGCAGAGTGAGGAAATGTGCTCAGTTTYTGCTCCAGCAGTCTAAGTCTAWAGCAGCAGAAATGAAGAATAATTCAGGAAACCTAAGTCTAACTATAGGATTTATCAAAAAGGAAAGTCTTTAGTCTAATCTTAAAAGTAGAAAAAGTTTCAGCCTCACGGACAGAAACTGGAAAATGGTTCCACAAGAAAGGAGCTTGATAACTGAAAGCACTGCCTCCCATTCTAGAAGGCAGAACTTGCCTTCCACGGCAATTTTTTTTAGTTAGCATATAGGTTAAATCTAAGGATGGTTATATAACAGCAGCTGCATTCTGGCGCGATAAGCTTTATGTTTTATATTCAGTTAATGTATGATCTGATTAGTTGACTAATCAAAAAATAATAATCTGTGATTAGTTGACTATAAAAATAATCATTTGTGGCAGCCCTACTTGAGAGCAAAATCAGAAAACAGAGTAGCCTCGTCCTGACCCACTGGTTTGAAAATAATTCAACCGGTGAGTCGTTCAGATTTTCTGTCGGAAATTATGTCACTTCTCCAGAGTAAAATTCATTTTCATCTATGTTTTTTAACTTGTTTTTCTTTGGTGAAACATTGAAATCCTGTTTTCCTACTTGTAAATGTGTTGAATGCACCATAAATGATGGCCAAGATAACCTCTTTGAAGAAAGTCAAGACCTTATGTTTACCTGTTGAACCAGAGTTAAACCTTGGGATTACGGAGCAGATAGGCAATTTATTAACAATGAGAGCAACTGGACCATTATGGTATTCTGCATCTGTTACTAATTTAATCTTGTAAAAGCAGAATATACACAAAGATTGTGTCTAAAGAAAGCATTGGTACCAGTTTTCCTCAACCAAACTACAGGTTAGGAAAATGTGAGAAGAGAATATGTCTGTGAAGTGCTATTCAGTGTTTGTCTTGGTTTTACAGGCTCATTCATCCAATAACAACACGCTTCCAGACAGAGCCAGCTCTAGGCATGGGCGAATAAGGCAGTCACCTAGAGCGCCATCTGTTGGAGGGGGCACCAAACTGCAGCAGAAAAATAAGTAATTATTTGTAACCCCAGGTTGTAAATCTGCTCGGCGCCCCTTTCAATTAGCTTTGACTTAAAAACAAATAATGAAGTATTGCAGGAAAAATAAACTACTCTACCCATAAATCGCTGCAGGGTGGAGCACCTGCCTCTGCTTCAGTATAGTGGGGGGGCACCAAACTGCAGCAGAAAAATAAGTAATTATTTGTAACCCCAGGTTGTAACTCTGCTCGGCGCCCCTTTCAATTAGCTTTGTCTTAAAAAAACTATAATGAAGTATTACAGGAAAAATAAACTACTCCACCCACACACACCCCCCATGCAGCAATCACCTCCACCCTCTCTCTCATTTGATTGATGTTGCACTGACTCATCCTGCTCTGACA